TGCCATGCTTTTAGCTCCACAGTGAAAGTCTCTGTTTGGATTATTTCTGAAATTTTTTTTTGTGTAATTGACAGCTGAAAAATCACATGCTCTTAAAATGACAACAAAACACTGTAAGCCCATCGGCTTATTTCCTCTTCCAATGAAATGAAAAGGTTGCCATAACAGCTCTTGGGAACGATTCTACACTGGAGAACGTGAGTTAGCCTAGTTGGAGCTTGTTTTGCTCCTGCGTTTTGCACCTTTGTCAAAAAAGAAAAAAAGTATTTCTCTCTGGTTGCTGTATTTGTGAAGCATAAAAGCATGATGGTCTGCTGTAAAGGACTTTCTCCTGGGATTTTATTTTTGTGTGGGGAAGGGAGAGTTTGGAGTATGACATCATGTAGTATGGTAAAATGGAAGATAAAGGTGCTGTGTCAGATTATTTATCAGAAGAATATAAACCTTTTAAGGACAATATTAGAGTATTTTAATTGTTTTTGTTGAAGCATTTATCTTGTTAATTTCTAAGAAAAAAAGGTGACGTCAATCAAAGCAGCACTTTTTTTCAAAATATACAGACATAAATAATATGATGTGGTTGAGTGTTAACATAATAAATCATATACAGTATGACATTTTAAAGAAATAAGTCTGCATTGATGTGATTGCATGCTTGTTTTTACAGTTCACTCCATACCCATCTGTGGAAAAATGCAATAATATGTTAATATAATATGGTAGTTTGAGAGAACCAGGTAGGTGCTACTAGACACATTGAAAACTAGTATAGGTTTACAAGATATTCATGTCTTTCAAAACATACACATGTGAAAGGCTGGCAAAGGAAGTTATTCAGTTTAATACCAAAAATATGGGTTCTTGTCACAGCAGTAAGTTACATTAGCTACAGTACAGTATCACCTATGACAAATTTTTGTTTCAGGACCTGGGGCCCAGTTCAACTAAGCTTTTAAGCACATAGTCAGCTTTGGGCATCAGAGAAGTTCCATTGGAGTATAAGGCACCATTCATATGCTTAAAAAATAAGTGCTTCCCTGGATGAGAGCCTTATGTGCTCCAGAGGAATTCCCCACCTGCATGGTGTTTACAACTTCTTTCACTCTTCCTAACTCCAGCTTGTTTGAATAGTAGAATTGTTACTTGAACCATTACCCTGCCAAGGTCAGGTAGGACTTTCCAAAGGAGAATTGGCCTTGTGGTAACAATTTCAAACCATCTTCTCCGGTAGATATATAAATTGTACTGACATAAATTGTACTGTTAAAATAGTTTTCATTGGCTTTCAATTAAAACTTCTCACATGTGCCCTTCTTTAACACCGTTGATCTTCCATTATCTTGTGCCTGGTGATGTCCCTTGTGTCTGGGCACAGCACAGGCGTGAAAAACCCCACACAGAGCATTCTACCTGGGTAGCACTTTGCAGGCCTGTCTGGTTTTCACGGGTTGAAATTACTACACTAGGTGTAAAGAGGCATCCCTCTTTTCTGTGAGCAGAGTCATGGCTCAGCATGATCAACTCAATCACATTAAGTAGGCTTAAAGCCAGTTGTCCATTCCCTTTGTCCAAGTTCCCATTCTGAAAAATTGCTTTTACTACGGCGTGAGGTGTCCATCGAGTGTGTAAAATGGAGGCCCTGAGTGGGAACCACCTTTGTTACGATCTATGTGACATCCTCTCCCACACTTAACTTGCAGAGTAGTTTTCTCAAGACCAGGTAGCTAGTTTCTGCCAGTGTACTGTTTACAGTGTCAATTTGCTGATTATTTTTAAACTTTTTGATGTAGATTTTATTTTTTTTTTTCTTTAACGCTTCAAGAACATTCTCATGATTTGAACAAGAAAGCGGTGCATCAGAAGACAAGGGGTGCATCATCCCACTCTTTTAGTGTCATCTGACAAACCAAGAGACAGTTTAAGGAACCTGATGTTTAACTTGAGGCTCAGAGTTTAAGCTAGAACACTTCAAAAAGTTTCCACATTTACTTAAGGATGGTTCGTCTTGCACTGAGACTCCCTCTATAAAGGAACACATGAAGAAAACCAACTTTTCTAAGTAAGGCATGAAAGTCAACATCTTGTGTATTTTCATTGCAGTATAATATATATATATATATATATACCTATTTCAATGAAAAGAAAGGACAGAATCATCTGTAATTATGTAATTCATGATTGTAACAGCACTGAAGTTACCATGTACGCACATGTACAGTAGCTCTTTCAACAGTTACAGTGTAGTTACATGTAATTCCCTGTAACATAGCAGTTATAGTGTAATTTAGTGCCACTTATTGTAAAGTGTTACCAAAAGGAAAATGGAGTTCTTACCTTTACAATTCCATTCAAATTAAAGGTAAGTTTATTAAATTAGCATCGTAAATCTGATATTGCATTTCTTGATTAAGGAGGTGATTTAAAACTTCATGTTCACGCTGCAGCTTCCCCCACCACTTACCCAGACTCCTCCAAATGTCTATTCTCTACGCTCCTAGGAACTGGTAATCTGTGATGAACATACCAAAAATCCCAGCTACTTCAACTTTAATTGAATAACCTGTCAAATGGAGAAAAACAAACGACAACAAAAACAAGGAGTAATGCTTTTTATTAAGTGGCACAAAGTACACACTAAAAACTATGCAAAAATATAGGTAAATACAGTGTACTTACATGTAAGTATCTTGTACTTGCTGTGTATGGATATTGGAAAACCGTGTAATTATAATATGCATTTTGATTATTTCAGGCAGGGGGTGACCCCTGACAGTCACAAGGAAAAAGCGGAAGGTACATATACAGGCAGTGGATATCCTAATGCAATATGTGTAATTCCTCTACTTGCAATGACAACTAATTTATAAAAATGCTTATGCCACTCCTCATTCTCACTAGCTTTGCTTTCCATTTCTTGGAGGCTCATTAAATATCACTGGAACACCTTTAGGCAAAGTAAGGCACTGACTCCGCTAATGGCTTGGCTGCCAGCGCTCTGTCTGGCAACGCTGTTCTGTAATCTTATTTCTGGCTCAACAGCACAAGTTTCCTCTTTTTTTCTGTCCTCAAGGGAACCTAGTATGTTAAGATGCTGAAATATGCTGCCATATGCCCTGGTATTTTTAGCATGAACAACAGAGAAAGAGAGAGAAAGAGAGAGAGCTGCATTCTTCTGACCCCTATTTTGCTGAATCACCTCACCTGGAATTTCCACTACTTTCTCAGTAACGCCAGGTAACGTTACATTGTAAGTACAAAATGCTTCCATTAAAGTACAGAGGATGCCTTTCGTTATAAAGCTAACATTTTGTAAACATGAAGTTTTGTATTACTGAGCTTTTTGCTTCTTGACACGTTTGCATCATACCCTTCCAGAAGAAATGCACTGAAAGACAGATAACATAGAGCAGCAAACGAAGAAAAGAATACTGTAAGCCTTCTTGTGGTTGCCATTGCTATAACCCTCCTTTGTGTCCTGTGTAACAGGCAAATACATGCATTTAGAAACTGCCATTAGCACCATTCCACACTATACTGTTCCTAGAATATGACATCTACCTCTTAGTCTTAATACTAGCTATGAGATATTTGTATACATTTTAAATACTACTGAATCTTTGGTTTAGTCTTGAAATTATATCACTGTTTTGTTTTTTTTTTTTTCTGTTAAAACTATAAAAAAAATATTGCCTGGGTTCATAATAATTCTTGCCCTGTTCTTGAGTAATATTTTGGGTAGTTTGAGCTTTTAACAGGGCATAAAGACACAGCCTCAGCTGGTATAAATCAGCTTCACTCTGTTGCCTTAAATGTGGGCCAATTTACACTGGCTGGGGATTCATCCCAAACAGTTTAAAAATAAACTGCTATAACACATCAATATTTAGTCAGCACTAGATAATGATGTGCAATCCAACTGCAACACAGTTCTTACCAGTAAGGTGTGCAGGTACGAAGAGAAACTTTTACAAGCACATGCAAGCTTTTGAATTAAATATGCAATATCACTACTGTTTAGATATCCTGACTTGTCTCTTACTTATTTAAGCATAATAATGCCAGGGCATGTTTACATTTAAAACACTCAATGCGTGGGGAACAGAGAAGGACTCTTGCAAACGGTAGGAGAAAATTAAATGGATAGAGCAGCCTTTGATGTCAACACAGCAGAGTAGAAACTCTTTTCAAGAGTAGGACTTCCTGCTTGGTTTTTCAGAGTGGACCTTGTGCATTAATAGAAACTAGCACAGTTCCTTCTTGCTATCGAGGAATCTAACCCAGCACTCTGCACTTCTTTTAACTCAGGAGAAAATAAGGGTACAAACATGGTTTAACAGCACACTTCTGTATCACTCCACATCCTCAGGATGCTCCAAGCCTTGTGCGCTTCCAGCAGCCCTTAAGGGAATTCTTCCAGCATCTAGGAATCATCTTGTTGCCAAGCTGTGTTCGTTTTCTTCAGCAATGTTTAATGTACTCCCAACCAGACAGAAGGTGTGAAGCCAGTATGATGATTCTACAGTACTAGGGGCTTCCAGAGCCTTGCAATAGATGGAAAAAATAGAAGAAAAAAAAATTCGTTGTAGTTCTGTGTTTACTGTAGATCTGCCCTCCATGTTCTGTGTCTTAAAACATTTATTCTCTGCTGGGCTAAAAGCAGCGATCTAATTGGAAAGGAGGTAGGGGGAAAAAAAAAGTATCTCCTCTAAAAGGGGTAGTCTGTGCAACTATTAAAGAAAAGTTCAAGGATTTTTGTTCTGTTTTTTAAGATTTCAGGTGCAAAGCCAAGCCTGTTGGGGTCAGCACTTTAGCACTTTCCCTGTGTTCAGGGTCAAGCCAGCAGTGTTTCATTTGTGAGCTCTGATCTCACATTTCAGCACAAACAGACAGCCTTATGCTGCCCTTATGCAGAGTGCTGAAAATCACCAATGCT